TTGAAAGAAATAGAAGGTTCTCATACTGTTATCATCTGATCAGTACAGACAAAGTGCAGAGAGTTCTGAGATTTCCAACAGTCTCCTGAGATCAACACTTTGATTGCCCCAATGTCCTATCTGATTGGAAGATTGTAGTACTTTGATCTGAGCAATGATGACATAATAGTTTGCTGAGCCACTCACTGTGACACAACTTGTGTTCTGAGCCTGTGATAAGCACATGATCCATACATCCTGTGGAGAAAACAATGTGTGTAAGCCAATTCTGAAACTGTGCACTCTTGTGGTTCTGTTTGCAAATGCTTGCAATACAGAATAGTTGGGTGTTCTCAGAGTAGGCTTCTATGAGTCATGTGGGTGTTCAGAATTGATTGCTGTGATTGTCTGCATGTGATGTACAGTTCTTAGTGTGATGCCAATTGTTTTATCTCCCAGCATGTCTGCTTGTGACTGTCCACAGTCACATGGTTGATTTAATGATTGGCAGGCTGAATGTAAGTTCTGCATGTGTGTGAACATTGTCACTTATTCTTCCTGCTTCCTTCCATCACTCTCACCATGTCATTACTGCTCCCTAGCAAATCCAACAGTAAGTGTTGCACTCTTTTCCACTCTTTTTATACTGATTTTGTGATTTTCCTCAGAAATTGCATGCACAACAACATAGTAGCCAGCAAGGGAATGGACATGGATGACAAGCTAGTCAAACGTATGCTCAGTGAGTACCTCTGTGAAGCACATTGTCACTAGCTCATATGCTAATGTGCTCCACAGGTTCTGATGTGGAAAACAAACCAGAGGACAAGGTTGTAAAGGAGGAAACTGATGGATTGACTACAGATCCTGAGTCTGAAGACAAAGAGAGCTCAGACAATAATGCTCACAATGACAATGATTCAGAGGGCAAGGAGGTTTTGTCTGTGCTAGTAGAGGGTCAATCTGGCAGTAAGTCTCCTATTTCCTGATTTCCAATCTGTCTACTAACATAGAACATCTTGTAGATTGTAAGGTAACAGTAGAGGAGCTTGCAAAAGCAAAGGAGGACAAAGCTGCCACTAGGGCTAAAGTAAAGGCAGAGGCTGAGAAAGTAACACAGGCTAAGGTTAAGGAAGAGGCTCAGACTAAGGCAAAGAAGGAGAAGGAGAGGGGAAAGGAGAGGGAGAAGGAGAAGGAGAAGGAGAGGGAGAAGGAGAAGGAGAAGGAGAAGGCTACAGTCTTAGCACAGTCAGTAACAAAGCAGAAGGATAGGAAGGAAAAGGAGGGGTCTAAAGGTATGTGTGCAAGTATGGCTAACAAATTGTGTACAATAACTAACTGTTTACACAGGTTCTGATACTGTCACAAACACAGAAAGGTTGAAGGTGGTAGTAGAAAAGGGGAACAAGCTAGGTATGAATTAAATGTATGGCTAACAAATTGTACACTACTAATATTGTCTTTACCTAGTTCCTGAAGAAGTTGCAAAACCAGAAAAGAAAAAGCCAGTTGTGGAGAAAGAGAAGGTCAATGTAAGAAGGGATGGGAAGGAGAAACGAGTCATAGTCAGTAAGTACAAGTATGGCTAACAAATTGTGCCAAGCTAATACAATGTTTCTCCTAGTTCCTTAAGTGGTTACAAAGCTGGAAAAGAAGAAAGAGGACAAAAGCAAGGAAAAAGGTAATGTGGATGAGGGGTAGTTGATTTTCTGAGTATACTGACTCCATTTTGTTGTCTAGAGCCAGTACCAGTGCTCCTAAGCAAGAAGCACACTATTGTAGAGGTGGAGATTCTGGTCTCTAGCAAGGAAATGTGCACAAAAAACCAGAAGGTCATAGTAGAGTCTTCAAGCAAGGAGGATGAGGATATCCCTCTGGATTGGGCAGAGGGAATGGTCTTCCACACACTCAAGTGTGTGAAGTGTGCAGAGAGGCACAAGGGTCCTTAGGGATCCACTTGCCAGACTGTAATGGATTGGCTGTACTACAGTAATCCAAGTAAGTCTGTTTCAATCTTATTTTTGACTGTGTCAATGGTGATCATTTGTGTAGAAAACCAGTACACAGTATACATATTCTGCCACTCTGGATGTAGCCTGAAGGGAATCCAGTGTAAGACTAGGGGGCAAACTACAGAATTGTACAGTATAACTTGGAACCTGTATTCTGTCATCCCTCCAATCACACATAGTGAAGCCAGAACAGTCTGCAACCTCTACTCACAGATGACTAAGGAGCTGAACAACCTAGAGTTACAGCTGATGACAATGAAGAACAAGTTTGATGTAAAGATCATAGCTCTGAGGCAGGGTATCAACTTTTTAGCCATGACAGTAGAAGCCTCTGTAGATAGTGGGGTGGAAGAGTTAGAGTAGGAAATAGAACAGGGTAGAAAGTAGAGAAATAAAAGTCCAGTTTTGTTTTTATGAAAAAAAACCAGAAACATAAGGAATAAACAGAATGGAACAGAAATGGATGGAATGGATAGGAAAATAGATAAAATAGAGAGTTAAGAGGAATGGAATAGATGGATGGATATTTTTATGATTTATGTATAGAACTAGTGGAATAGGATGGGAATAGGTGGAAAAGAATCATAATTTGTATAAAGGTTTATATGCTTATAGAATGTTGTATAG